GAGGCCTCTATTGAACGAGCGCAATGAATTGTTGAAAATATTCAAATCACATATGCACCAATTACAAAGCGATAATCACACTACCGTCACAAAAAATATTATTCACTCTATAGAAGTAAGAGATTGACTTGCTGAATTACGATCAAATAATTACTTAAAAACAAGAAAGGAAAGCTAACTTCGGACGGAGCCGAAGTTGATATACCCTTTCAGTTAAAACCGGATATATCCTTATGATTAGTTGACCGATCGTTATGATTACATCATAATAAAACCAATTAACTAAAATAAAAAATCTAAAAAAAAGTCCCAAGCTTCTATCTTCAAAAATACGAAAGTTGATATTTCTACCAAATACCATTTCCGATCGTTCAGTTATATGGCAGCTATAGGATATGGTCGGCCGATCCTAATGAAATTTGGTAGGTTGGATCAACTGACCAAAAATAGAATCTGTACTAAGTTTCAGTCCCAAGCTTGTATCTTCAAAAACACGAAATTTGGGTCACTTTCGATCGTTCAGTTATATGGCAGCTATAGTATATAGTCGACCGATCCTTATGAAACTTGGCATGTCGTAATGTTTTGCCAAAAATATTCCCGTGTAAAATTTTAACTCTCTAACTTTAAAAACACCATAGTTTCGATAGTTACGACGATAGCTTCAAAACTGAGAGACTAGTTCGCGTAGAAACGACGGACAGACAGACAGACGGACATGCTCATATCAACTCAGGAGGTGATCCTGATCAAGAATATATATACTTTATAGAATATATATACTTTATAGGGTCGGAGATGTCTTCTTCACTGCGTTGCAAACTTTTGGACAAAATTATAATACCCTGTGCAAGCGTATAATAATGTTTGCCTTTTGTTATTTTTATATTTCCTCATGGTTCACAGCGCTCCAGATGACTTTATAATAAATAAGTATACCTAGAACTGAGTAAATTTTGTACCGAAATTATAAAGTCATCGGCAAAACAACGTTTGCCGGGTCAGCTAATAATATATATGTATGTAGGTATATTATTGATAGATAAGGGTAAATTAAAATTTTTTTGGGACTTGTCCTTCAGAACTCTCACTTGTATTATAAAAATATTTAATATATTCTATTGTTCCTAGCCAAGGAATTAAAATTGTATAATGTTAATTACAAATGTATTATTTGGAGAGTGAAAAGCTTCCTACAGCCAGAGCTCGAACCATCTCAATCCAAAAAGACAAAAGAACATAATAATAAATAAATAAACAAAGGAAGACAAATTCCAAAGTCTGAGCCATTTCAATTAAAAAACAAAACAAAATACCAAGAAAATTACTATAGAAATTTGGTTGATACTTTTTCCTTGAAGAGGGAGGTACTCCCAGGCAATGAGCACAAACAAAGTCAACTCAAAAGACACTTATAAAAAAAAAGAAATTAGTAAATTGACTTAAAAACAAATACTATTTAAGGTATGAAAAGGGTCAAAAGAAAATCAGGCATTGTAACTTAAGGTTATTTTTTGAATATCCTTGAAGGATAATTCAAGATAATTTAAAGACCCTATCTACTAGGGTCTATTTACTATCTACCCTAACTAAGGGTCCTGCCTTGCTCAGGGAATCTGTTAATGGTTCAGGTAATTTCATTAGGGACATGGTCGTCACGTGATTCTTCATAGATCGAAACAAAAAAGGGTGGGTGCAGGATTCTAAATTAGTATTGTTAAATAAACATTCCGTGGCTAAGGACAATATTAGAAGTGTCTTGCTGTTGGTGGCAAGATTCCTTTAGTAGTTGCCAAAAAAAATTATATATTATAAATTCATGTTCATTATCGCTATAATTTGTCGAAGTGTCTTATAAAATACATTAATATAATTAAACCTTAATTTATTATAAAATAGTGGTTCTTTATAATCATGAGAATTCAGAAAATATAGATTATTTTATAGCTTGGTCTTGAAGAAAGATATTGAGATTAAGATTAAGATTTTTAATTAGGTAAACATTAGAAACAATTTTACAACAAACACTAATTGGAAATGGAAAATAAACATGATTAAGTTTGTTTTTTTTTTTTGAAAGAAACAAAAAGACAAACTAGACACACTTTTCCAGTTGAGAAGAGGAAAAAAATTGAACTTTTTGAAAAGCTTTGGAATGACGAATTGAGATGACGGTGGCAATCGACGCGTATTCAAGAATTGTTAAAGAAAGTCTGGAGACTTTCAATTTATTGAATCAAAGTTCCGTTTACTTTTATATTTCTGCAACTGAGAGACTTTTGGCAAATGTTTCGACAAAACTTATATTATTAAAGCAATACCTTTCACCTGGTATATCATTAATTCAGATGAAACACACAAAATATTTAATTCATCGGCTATGTAGTATACTAGTGTCTTCACGCGTACGTTATAACATGAGGTTCGTCACCCGTGGATTGCCGTCGACAGTGATTGTTATGGGCAACTGCATTGGGCCTTTTTTCAACTTTGATATAACTCGGCAAATATTTAGAAAAACACATTTTTTGGTCAATTAAATAGAAGTTTCGCATCTTATTTGTTTTTTAAGTTATGAATATCTAAAACAGGTCTTGAAGCCCAATCCTTTCCTCGTTCAACAAAGCTCTACAAATAGCCATGACTTTTCACTTAGCTATAATAAGAAAGGAAAGCTTACCTCCGGCAAAGCCAAAGTTCTTTTACCCTTGCAGTTAAGATCTGACACATATGGCATACATCGGATATAATTGACTGATCCTTATAAAATTCCGTAGATCGGATCTGCGATGGCAGATTTTCAACTTATATATGGTACTATGTATATAGTATATAGTGTACTTTGCATATACTATATACAATTTCAACTTACAAATAGACGAATAGAAAATGTAAAGTTTAGATTGGAAAAGTTTTACTTTACTATTTAAAAAAAAGTATAATAGAAAAGGTGTGAAGGTGTTTAAAATTTAAACAAATTTTATTTACAAACTCCCAACTTTTTACCTCTAAAAACGGCCGACCCTTATGTATTGTATTATTATATTGTGAGTTGTATTATTTTTCCATAAATAGTACTCATGCAAAATGCGAACTCTTTAACTTTAAAAACACCAAAGTTATTGCATTTCCGATCAATAAGTTATCTGGCAGCTATAGTAGTTAGTCGGCCGATACCGGCCATTCCTACTTACATATATACTGCGTGCAAAGAAAAGAAGGGTGTGGGGAAAGTGTCAAGTCTGTAGGGCTCCGACGAAAGTTAGCTTTCCGTTTTTTTTTTTTTTTTTTTTTTTTGTTGAATATGGCTTAGCTTTACTTTCTTTTTTATTTGTTTTTTTCTTTGGCTAAACATATCGTTGAACGATATGTTATACAAGAAGAGATGTCTTGTATTGAGCGAAGATGTACTTTTTGAATTTGCTCGTTCTACCCGGTACTCGTAGAGTACAAATTATATTACAAATAATCTACAAATTATATATTTTATTCGAGTTAATGTATGTAACTGTAGGTATGTAGATATAAGCATCAACAGCTGAGTCGATATAGCCATGTCCGTATCTCATGGATCTCAGAGACTATAAGTGACAATAGATATAGGATTTGCACTCCTATAATTACCACGCAGTTAAAATTGTTTAAAATTTTTCTCTCGCCCTCTTCCGCCCCCATAATTTGAACATTTCTGTAAGGCCAGAAAAGGAAGGTTTTTTTTTTTTATTTGTTTGTCCAAATCGACTGAATTACCCGACTAAGCGTAAGAGTATGCCATAAAAATTTATTGTTAATCCATAGCGTTACATTTTAAATGTTAAAGATTAGTTAAGGTAAGGTAGTTAGGGTGGAAGAGCTGAGTACCAGGTACAACATAGTTAAGAAACCCCACTATAGCCGTCCTTTCTTATTGGACTTGTAATAGTTGTCCGATCTGAAAAATCAAACTTGATCTGCTAGCAACTTCAAGCCTCCAAACGAAATATCAATTCTTTAGCTTATATAGCCTTTGTAAAATTTAATAATATCCTATGTAAAAATTTTAGTATTCGTATTCGTATTTACACACAAAAGAGCTGGGGTGAGCAGGAAGAGCGAAGAAACAAAATAAGAGTGTATTGATATGAGAAGCAAACTGATGAATTGAACAAATTGACGAGTTTGCTGCATATAAAATTATTAGGCGAATAAAAATAATTATTCAACAAAAACTAATACGAGACTGGTCTTCCATCGGTAGAAATGCAAAAGTATTTTATAAGAAAAGGTCATCTTTATTACTTTACCATGGCACATGGCTTTACCATGGTCTTCGCTTGGCACAAAGTGACCTGCTCGCTAAGACGCGCTGACTACAGCTGGACAAAATTTATGAATATGAATTTTACGCTCACGAGTGAGAATTTTGTGTGCTGTCTGTGTAAAAAGACCTATGTCTCGGTCCCGCGGGATCCAATACAATATAAGAACCTGTACCAAATGATTAAGCCCTTCAAAACAATTTAATTTTGTTTAGCTACTCTATGGAATAATTAAGCCATAACTGTTAAATTTAATTAATTTGACAGGTTGTGGCACACAAAATTTTGAGCGGAAACGCCCATAGATAACCATTTTCTTCACCATTTGGCATGCACTTTGTTATTCTGCACTCAAGGTCATCGTTAGGCATTTGTATGCGACCCTCGCCTTGTCTTTTGCTGGGAGTCGACCTTGTAAAGCATAAATTGAATAAGCTTAAGCTTGGACTTATTGTAATTTGGGCGTAACACACAACGCCACTTTTATTGTTATTTTAAGCGGACTTTACTTTCAAATAAAGAATAAACCTGAACTGTATTTAATTTACGTTGTTTGTTGATCGATTAAGAACTTTGCTTAATTGGAATCGGTATTAAAAACTGCTTCTGAAGAGCGTCGGAAATTCTTTCTTTTCGATTTGCTTCTTTCATGTTATTATGTTGTCTATAAATTTGTAGTTTCTCATATTTTTATAATTACAGATATTGATGAATGCGAGACTGGTGAACACAATTGTGGCGAAGGACAAATTTGTCGCAATCGGAATGGTGGATATGTATGCGAGTGTCCCTTGGGGCATGAACTTAAAACACTGAGCAACGGAAGTAAAAGCTGTTTAGATATAAATGAATGTTCACTGGATCACCGCTTATGTCCGTCGAATGCATACTGCTTTAATACTATAGGGTCATATTATTGCGAGTGCAAACCTGGGTTTGAAAAAAAAATGTCAAATAAAAATAACTTTAACACTGTTTGTTTTGATATCGATGAGTGTAAGGTTATTCCGGGTCTTTGTCAACAAAAATGTGTCAACTTCTGGGGCGGTTATCGGTGCACATGTAATTCAGGTTACCAAATAGGTCTCGACAACCGAACATGCGTTGACATAAATGAATGCGAAGCTCATAAGGATTATAAGTTATGCATGGGGTAGGCGACTATAAAATTGTTAAAACGTTTATAATATGAAGCCATTCCAGATCCTGCATGAATACTCCAGGATCATTTCAATGCTCCTGCCCTCGAGGATACACCTTGTCAACAGACTTCAGCACATGCCGTGATATAGATGAGTGTGCCAGCGACCATGTATGCACAGGACGGGTAAGAAAATCCAACACTTTTTTTTTGCATATCAAACAAAAATATTACGGTTACACAGATTTATAGATTTATATATATACATATGGTTTACATAGATTTATGGTTACATATTCTTACGTATTGCATCACTCCGCCCTTCTATATGTAAGACCAAATAATATTGCAAATAAAATAACTAACACTTAATATAAAATTTAACTTAAATAACTTAAACCCAGCTTTGCACCGTTATTTTACCTCGTCAAGAGGTTTTCTTATTTTATAAGATATTTATGATTATTTTATATCTGAGCTAATAATCAAGAGAGAAGAATCTCATTGAACCAAAGAAACGGCTTATACTCTTACCTTTCAACCCGCGATACCGAAATGGAAAAATCGGCGATTAAGAGCAACCGCTGAAAGCCAAAGGGCACGATCTTGCTCTTCCGCTCTGCTCACTCCGACTCCCGCGTCATGGAGTTCGCAGTGTAAAACCACCCTCCAATGACGGAAACAAATTTTGCACCAACAACAAGCAGTGCTACAATTTCTGCAACCACTGCAATACAAAATACCGCGACGTCAACGACTGCAGCGAGTACAAAAACAACAAATGCGGCCCCGGCCACACAGACTGGAATGAATCGCTACATCCAAATTGAGCGCAAGCCTAGCCTGCAGAGTAATCCGGCAGGCAATAAACAAAAATTAGCCGCGTCCAGAAGATCGACGAAGAACCAGGCAGATCCAGTAGTAACTGATTTGCTCTACTAGCGGAGGTTGAGGAAAACCAACCAGCCCAAGACACCGCAAAAAACCCAAGCCCCCTCCAACCTATATCAGGGAGAATAGCTCGAGTGCCCTCGTCAACCGAATTGCGGTGTTGATCGGGAACGGTGATAACTTTCATGTTGTCCCGCTTATCAAAGGGAACATCCATGAAACAAAGGTGCAAACAAAAACTGAAAAGCACTTTCAAGTCGTGTTCAAATATTTTGAAAATGCAAAGAAAAGCACTACACCTACCAGCTAAAAGGTAGCAAGGGTCTAAAAGTGGTGGTAATGGAATTCGAACGCGATGTTACCGCCGCGGCAATAAAAACCGTACTTAAAGAAAAGAAGATCGCCACCTAGAATGTTATTTACATTATATATAAAGACAAAAAGCCACAACCTTTTTCCAAAGTCAAGCTCGAGCCAGAAAGCAGGTCGCTAAAGATAAACGAAGTCCGATCAATTTAAAAGCTGCAAAATCCTTTGCATGGGAGAATCACTATGGAAGAGCTACATAAGCGCAACGGTCCAGTGCAATGCACTAATTGCCAGGAGTATGGACACACTGGGTCTTACTGCACACTTTGAGCCATCTGTGTAGTCTGCGGGGACGTCCTCCGCTCACTGTACTTCAAACAAGGATAGTACCGTGAAGAAATGTGAAAATTGCGGAGGCAACCATACGGCAAGCTATAGAGGATGCGTGGTGCACAAGGTCTGGGACCGCAACGCGCAAATAAAATCCGAAGAATGTGTACATTGCGTCAAAAGCTGCGCCAGACGTCTTCTTCGCCAAAGGTTCGAGGTCCTCATTCGGTCCCCTAAATACCACTAACGGCTTCTCCTACGTCGATGCTCTACGATCTGGAATAGAAAACCCGATTCAGCCTAACTCACAAACGGCAAAATGGGAAACTATGATGCTTACCGTCCCACAAAGTATGATAAAGCTTATATCATTCATGATAACGACCATGCAAGCACTTGTTCAAAGCCAAAAAATGGTAATACAGCTGCTCGTAGCACAACTGGCTAAATAATCTATGCAGACTCCACGAATATCAATGTGGAACGTGGTGTGGTGTCTTAAACTAAAATGGAACTGGACGGGAACGTGATAAACTAAAATTGTCACGATTCTTGACCAAAAACTATATTGACGTTATGTCACTAGTGGAAACGCAACTTACAAGCAAATACAACTTTCATATAAGAGGTTACACAATCTACCGCACAGATCATCTAGATAGGAAAGCCCACGGCGGAACTGGAGTTCTAATCAGAGAACGCATCAAACACCATTTTCACAAAAGGTTTGCAACAAAGTTCTTGCAGGCCGCATCGATATAAATTCAGTCAAGCAACGGAATCCTTTCAATCGCTGCCGTTTACTGCCCTCCTCGTTTCTCAATCTCGGAAGGACAATGTATGGACTTCTACAATTCATTTGGGGATCGTTTTATAGCCGCAGGAGACTACAACGCCAAACATACGCACTGGGGATCACGTCTAGTGACTCTCAAAGTAAGGCAAATGTACAATGAAATTATAAATGTAAGAAATAAACTGATACTGGCCAACAGACCTACGCAAGCTCCCCGACCTAGTTGATTTTGCGGTGACAAAAAACATACCTCGCAATCTAGTAGGTGCTAAAGCAGTGTGGGACTTAACACCAGACTACTCGCCTGTGCTTTTAACGCTTCTTCAAAGCCTGAAGTAACCGAACACCCCTTCAGCCTGACGACGCCAAAAACGAACTGTCTAAAATACACATAGAATACACATACACATAGAAATACACATACACATAGAACTCGCCCCGCAGCTTAAAATGGAGTCGGACATCGCGCCCTGGAAGAAGTATTCTTGCGGCAGCAAAAATCTCTACTCCTCATGGGAAGGAAATAGACCGAAACAAATACTACAAATCCAGTTAGCAAACCAAAAGGCTCGTGCGAGAAAAGAGGCGCACGCGTCGTGATTGGCAAAACAGCAGATCACCAGCTTCAAAACAACGCCTTAAGGAAGCAACCCGATAACTCGACTAGGCTCTTCACCAACACAGCGGGCGATCGCAATCGTCTTTAAGAGCGAGAAGTTTAAAGCTGTAGCTACCGCTGTAGCAGAAAAAAACATTCTGTGCTCCTCGTAGCCGTAGCCAAAAATCTAAAGCGAGAGCAGAGCAGCGCAACAAATATTTTTGTATGTGCTACTGCTCTATCGTAGTTTTGGTTTTGTTTTTTATGCACCGTCACTGTGTGACCACTTTCTTTACCTCCTTTCTTCCTTACCCAGTTTCTTTACCCTTGTAAGAATGATTTGTAGGTAATAACATATATTAATAAGTAATAATATTTAATATTTAGTTCATTCAGAAACAACAAATAAATAATAATAACTCCTAATTAAATCAAAATTAAAAAATTAAGCTATTCTAAATTTATTTAGTAAATATTTAATCGTCGTCTTCAAATAAACTCAAGTTGTCGATCGCATTATCTAAGTGTGTTGAGTTTAGGCGAAAAAGGTGTATATTTCCTAATGTGTCGTGGCTGAAGCGATTTCACGACTGTAAATCACATTAATACAAATTTGCATTTATGAATAGCGTTAGAATTTTAGTTATATATATGTTCCATAGATATCGAATGAGGTTATGAATAAGACACTTAATAAGACACTGAATAAGACAAAACACTTATGTGCAATGTACAGTGTGTTTTGAATAAAACTATAGAATCCCTTTATTGTTTGAAACTGCGTATCATTTTTAACTATTTGCCAACAAGAAAGAAAAGCTAACTTCGGGCGGAGCCAAAGTTTATATACCCTTGCAGTTAAAACCGGATATATATCGCAAGCATCGGATATAGTTGACCGATCCTTAAAAAAATATCATAATAAAAGCAATTCATTACAATAAAATATCTAAAAAAAAGTCTTAAGCTTCTATCTTCAAAAATACCTAAGTTTGTATTTCTACTTTGTAGAAATTTGTATTTCTACCATTGCGGATTAATCAGTTATATGACAGCTATAAGATATAGTCGACCGATCGTTGAAATTTGGTACGTCGGGTTATCTGACCAAAAATATAATCTGTACCAAGTTCCGTCATTCTATCTTCAAAAACACGAAAGTTGGGTCATTTCGGATCGTTCAGTTATATGAAAGCTATAGGATATAGTCGGCCGGTCCTTTTGAAATTTGGCCTTTAAAGTTTGAACTCTCTAACTCTAAAACCACCAAAGTTATACCATTTCCGATCAATCAGTTATAAGGCAGCTATAGGATATAGTCGGCCGATTCCGGTCGTTCCGACTTATATACTGCGTGCAAAAGAAAGAAGGATGTGTGCAAAGTTTCATGTCGATAGCTTTGAAACTGAGAGACTAGTTTGCGTAGAAACCGACAGACAGACGGACAAACGGACAGACGGACATGCTCATATCAACTCAGGAGGTGATTCTGATCAAGAATATATATACTTTATAGGGTCGGAAATGTCTCCTTCACTTCGTTGCATACTTTTGATCAAAATTATAATACTCTCTGCAAGGGTATAATTTTGATCGCCCTCCCCCAATCAGATACCTGTATCCGCCCCTGCACCAACAGCCTTAACCTACAATCATTCGCTAACAAGCACAAAGTATCCGCTGTGGAGCGCCCCAATTGAAACGACCACTCCGATAAGAAAATCTTCAGAATGCTGGGCTCGCAGCGACAAAGACCGAGCTAAAACATTCGCTGCACATCTCCAAAGTGTCTTCCAGCCAAACCCAGCCTCAAATTCATTTCTCCTGCCAGTAATTCAGCCAGAGTCCTCATCTCAGCCAGCCGCACCTTCATTCCGGCCGAACGAAATCGAAAAAGTCATTATTATCATACTAGTTATTATCATTATAGTCATACTAGTTCTTATGTATGCAGATGATGTAAAGCTTTGTCTTCAGTATAAATCAATCTCTGCCCAATGCAGTCTTCAGTCTGACCTTGATAACTTTCTAACAGTAAAGTTGGTGTTTAGCTAATGATCTAATATTTAACAAATCAAAATGCAAGCATATGTCTTTTTATCGTTCTTTCCCTCTACAAGCTACGTATTCGATTAATGGGATTGCCTTAGAGAAATTAACCCAGATTAATGATCTTGGCGTTCTATTAGACATTAAACATACATTTTCCGACCATATTTCACTAATGGTTAATAAGGCTAAAGGAGTCCTTGGTTTTATTAA